GAAGAAATGCAGAAATGCCGAAAGTGTGGAAAATCGATACGTATCGGTTGCTTTTCTGCACATTCCGCACTGTCGGCATTTCTGCAGATTCCGCACTTCTTCACTTTCGGCATTTCTGCAGTGCAAGATTCCGCACTTCTTCACTTTCGGCATTTCTGCATTTCTTCAAATCGATACGTATGTAATGCTTTTCGTCATTTCTGCACTTTCCGCACGTCTGCAGTTTCGGCATTTCTGCATTTCTTCAAGTCGATACGTATCTATTGCTTTTCTGCAGATTCCGCACTTTGGCACTTTCCGCACTTCTGCATTTTCCGCATTTCTGCATTTCTTCCACGAACGCAGCTATGAACCGCGGCATTATTTTATCCATCGCCAGTCAAGGTCGGCCTATTTGGACGTTTGGCCGAGTGAAAACGATCCTGTTCAGCAGGACTTGCATTATTTAGCCTCAGAGGTCTTTCGTTGAACATGACATACCAGCGCAAATCGAGATGGCGGTCGGTGTGGACTTTGATCCTACTACCGTCGTGGTGTCCCAAGCTCCAATCGCAGCCTTTTATCTCTTTGACACCATTACGGCGGCTTGTCTCCACGGCCGTCATCTGCTTGGTCTCCGATCTATAGGTGGCGACTGGTCTTACGACTGAAGTGTAGATCTTGGACTTCAGGTGAATGGGCATTCTCTTATCACAGAGAATGCCAGTGACACTCCTCCACTTGTTCCATGTCCGCGTGGTATTTCTTGATACGTATAATCGGCCCTGGCATCTACATCCGCCGGCCTCGCTAGCCGGAGACCCGACGGTAGGGAATTTCGTTAGGTATGGTCAGCAGGGTCGTGCCCTCCAGTCACAATTGGAAGAGGTCACCATGGCAGTGGCACCATGTTACTCTGTTTTGTTGATGTTTCGTTTTTTGGGAGTCCATGTGCCAACGAGTTCCTTGATTTCATCACATCAAACTCTAGCGCAAGAATTAACGTCATTTCGCAATTTCAGGACCGGCACAACTACCTCAAAATACAAGTTTTTTGCGGATTTGGTGATTTAGGCACTTCAAAAATAACCTCGCTGCCAAAACTGCGTGGGTCCAAACGGCATTAGCCGGGGAAGATCGGTAGCACTCATCACATAGACCTGCGCCCGCTGCAGTACATATGAGTATTGCTGCTTCAAGCAACAAACGGATATACAGCGTATGCCGCGCGGTGTCTTACGCGCGACTGCGCGACGAAGGGAGACTGTCTTGTCCGCCTCCCAATATGTTGCAGTAATGGTAAGAAAACGATGTTTTAAAGTAATGAACAATAAGTGAGGAACAACGCACGTTTGGCTTTCCATCAAAAAACTCCTCCAGTAAAGTCATCATTACGTAGTCAGTTATTTCTTTCGGGACTGTTACATCTCGCAAAATATGAAACAAGAGACTCTTCCATTCGCTCCTTTAATAAAACCATTAACTTTGGAAAATATCTGTGAGACCCACGTTCACACATTGCGAGAGTGGGAATCGAAAAATCGCGCTCTCGCTCTCGCGGCGGTAGGCGATTTCGACTTCACTAGCCGCGAGCTTAGAACATATAGGAGGAACGAACAATGAGAAAACCTGGAGCCTTAGATTTCCATCTATTCCCTTGACGCGCCATTGCCCGACTCTCCAGCAAAGTACAAACCTGGCCTAATCTATCAGCAAAAATGGAGTAGGCATAAACTAACTTCCCTACGATCCTTATGAGTCCTAAGTGGCCTGTTTGAACATGCCAAAAGATGTAGTCGATGGCATCTAACATTGATATTCTGAAGGACCAAGCATAAAACGGGTCAAGAATGAATAAAACAGGAAAATTCGAGAGAGTTGAAGAAAAGAGCCAGTCACAAAATTTGTGGGGTCATACTGTAACCGTTACTGAAACTAGAATAAAACATCAAAATGAAAAAGAAATATTAGGTCATTCCATTCAAAAGTGCCGTCGGTTTTATTAGAATAAAACAAAGAGGAGAATTAGATAAAAAAGAGCTAATGCTTTTCGCTTCAAGGTTAAGTTAAATCCCTCCGCTCACAGTGACCCGCTTCCCAGTGCCCGAAAGCCTTCTGTACTTCCGGTACCTTTCGGAATTTCAAAATTGCGCTGTATGATGCAAATTTCGGCGACTGGCAAAGACATTGTGGCGTTTGCCGTCGGAGATTACTCTCGACTGACGAGAACAATTGGAATCGCTCGGCTTTATGCTGGCGGATGTGGGTAGTGCTTGAACCAGTTCTCAGTATGGGGTTTTGCTGTCCCAGCGCTGCCCTACAATACAGTTAATGGGCGTCTGCCGGACTATGCACGAGCAACGGAGGCGTCTTGTAGTTTGTGTGGTATATCCATTTGTCGATCTGATTGCTGGAACAGTCAATATACACCGACAGCTACGATTTTATTTTCTGTATGGAGCCGCCTAAAAGCCTCAGTGTAGGAATCCTTCGCTATGATGATCACACTTGCGCCCAAGTAACTCCTCATGGTGTACAGAACTTCTTCTCATCTACATTCATACAAAATTGACGATTGTGAGTTTTGGCTCGAGGTCCAAGACCACCCATATTTCATCTAGGGCCGGGGTGCATTTTCACAGTCGTGAATGACATCATGCTCGGAGGAACATTTACTGCTAGAGGTATAGAATAGGTACTGCGTTCGTGCTTCTACAAGAAAATTGGGGTACCCATGCGCACACCCTCTTGACCATCCTCAGTTTATCGGACATAACTCGGGCAGCAGTTGCAGCTTTGTGTGGGATTGTCAGTCTCGGGGGGAACTCGACAAAGGTCCAGGCTCTGGGATCAGACATTGAGCGCTTGACTTCCTCCACCCCTTTTTCTCGTGCAGGATGATCACTAGTGGGGACCATCTATTGACAATTTGTTTCTTTCCTTCTTCGCGCGCTCCTGAAACCAGACTGTCCACCTTGTATTCGAGAACACCATCACGCAACAACTACTGGTCCGGCGCCGGTCGAATTTGAGCAGCGCACTTCCCTCTTATGACGTCTGATTTGAAAATCGGGCGCTGATTTTCACCACTCGAGCTTCTTTTCAATTTCTCGAGAACTTCTTCTGTGGGTAGGGATACAGCTGAAGGTACTAGCTCAAAATGTATATATGTCGCCTTCCCTATCCCTTTTGCTTTTCTGCCACTCCTCCATATGTCTCGGCACTTTTGAATGGGATGACCTAATATTCAGCATACTACGTCAGTCACCCGGGGCTGCTGCAGCTTCTCCGTTTAGAGCCGCTGGTGGGGCTAGGTAGTATTAAAAACATTCCAAACCAAGGAGGACCAACCTGATGTATGTCACAGACAGGAATAAACTGCATCCACTAGTTTCGGAGAGCCTCCCTGCCCACCATTCCTTCGAGTCATTTGAACCTAGAAAAGGAGCATTTCGTGGCCTGTTGTTCATACTTAGGGGGAGTTAGGCCCAATGGCGCAAGAGGGACCATAGGTATCCGAATTTCTTGGCGAATCTGAGTCGGAGGACTTCCGGGCGTTTGGAGACTCAGCAATTCGGAGAGGTTGTCCTCTAACAAGGGAATGGTTTGAACTTCCCATGGAACTTTGAATGGAGACCTAGGTACATCGATAGAGCCTTGAATGCTGATTACGAATATGCAGATAAAAGTGCTACGGGGACCTCCCAGACGAGATCTGGGTGGTCAACGTTTAAGCTCTGGCTCGGAAGCCGCTGCTTGATCGATGCTTTCGGGAGTTGCCACCCGTGGGCCTCGGTGTAGTGGTCTCGCTTTCAAGTCTATAACGCTTGGGTTGTGCATCGGTTGGCGCGAAAAGCTTTTTGCTTTAGCTCCCGTATTTGAAAGCTTCAACTTAATTTTTGAAATTTCTTCCGAATCTACCGAACCCAGTTAGGGCAAGTTTAGATTGTACATTCAAGTATACGACGTATCGAGTCTTAGTTGGGATGTGGTCTATCTGCCTTCTGAACATCCTTACCATCCGATACAATTCAAAGTTTTAGCGAGAAATTCGTTCATGGGAGATTTCGACCCCCTGAACACGAATATCACATCCTTCGACGAAAAAACGCTCGTCTGGCCAAATTGCGATTCTGGGCAAAACTTTGAATTGTCGGATGGGTAATATGTTCAGAGAGGGCAGATATGACCAAATCCATACTAGATCGAGTATGTCGTATACTTGATGTACTTGATCTACTTGCCCTGCTGGGCCTTAAATTCGGAAGAATTTTGAAAATTGGAGTTGAAGCTCTTATACGGAGCAAAGCAAAAATTTTCGCGCCAACCGGATGCAAACCCGCATGCGTTTGACTTGAAAGCGAGACCATTACCACGAGGCCACGGTGGCACTGCCGAGGCATCGATCAGCAGCGCTTACGAGCCAGAACTCAAACTATGGCCACCCAGATCTCGTCTGGGAGGTCCCCGTAGCACTTTTAATCTGCTTATTTCAGCATTGTCAAGCTCTATCGATTGTCCTAGTCTCATTCAAAGTTCCATGGGAAGTTCAAACCAATGTCCTTGTAAGAGGGGACTGGTTGCGTATCGAAGCGGCGCCGATTGCCTCCACAATCTCTCACTAGCGGCAAGCGCCAATCGACACGTATCCACTCCTTCGGCGCGAAATGGACCGAAACGCCAAGCCACCTTTAATGCCTGATCACCGATTTCACCAGATCGATACCTTTACTTCCCTCGTCGCGCAATTTTTCGAATTGCCGAGCCTCCCAAAACACAGAATCTCCTCAGTGGCAAAGTATGAACGTGGCCAGAGAAAACGGAAATGAGAACTGCCTTCAACAAAATGCTTAAGAAGTTAAAGATGTGGTGGAATGGATTGAAAAAGTCTTTACCTACCTATTCAACACTGGAAATACTTACTCCAAGATCAATTCACACATTGACGAAAGCGGGGGTGCAAGGGCACATGCATGCATTCAAACGTTTCACGTTCTGATTAGGCCGCGGATTCACAACAATTATTCGATGAGCACCCGCCAAAAGAACGCATACTGAGCTTGATCTGTTCTCGACAAGCTAAATAATAAATATTTGGTGTTAGGATAATATTGAAAATACATGTCAAAGACATGTTATTCAACGGAAAGAAAACAAAAGGGACTCAGAGTGCAGCGGTCAAACAGAATTTCCAATGTGTATTATTTTCAGTATCAATACCTTACTGGACGTGAGTACAGCAGCTTGTTGCACTCCGGATGAGCAGGGTTCAGTGAAGGGCGGTATGGCGTGGCGCCGACCCCTTTTCAACGGTTTGCCTAAAGTCTAGCAAGGCAAAGATGTGTATCTATTCGCTTATATCGGTCCTTCCCCTCCCCAAATCTGTCATTACCCGCTTCAACAACTGGTGGAGGACGGATTCAGCGCGAGCCAAACTCTCCCTGCCGCCACGCCCATTTCATACCAGCGAACAGGAGGCGCTGAACAGGAATGTCTCCTTCAAAATAAAATAAAATAAATCGCGTATTGATAAAAAAGAACCATACCTTTTATCCAACAAATTCTGGTAGTTATGAGTGGACAATATTTCAGGAAAGGTGTTGTCTCTTACAAGTGAGGAAACGAAATAAGTTAAACTGCTATGTTGAAAATGTAGCTTATGACGAATGACATCAAATGTGAAGAAGAGGGTTGTGCGTGCTAGTATATCGGCCTGAAAAAGTATAAGTCTCTAGTATAACGTCAGGGAGCACGAAAATTATTTCCATACCTCAGGGTCATCGCAAAAATCGATCATTCCTAGCAGACCTTGGGCTGCTGCTCCAAGACCATGATCACTATTCTTCTGGTGTACATTACTAGTGTCTAGTTCCTCCTCTGAAGTGAAGGTGAACATCATGTGAGTAGAATCACCTTTGCAGAATTTTCATTTACAATGCTAAACTAATGGACCTCTGCAGAGTTCCAAAATACAGCGCTGCCCGGGTATAAGCGCCTCATATTCGAAAACGTTCAGCAATTTCTTTGAATCTTTCTTGGTATGAGTTCAATTCGCATCGTTTCTCTGCCAAGACTACATAAATCGGCCACGAGCATAACAGACCCTTGCTAAGCGCTACGGACACGTCCGAAGTTACAACTGGACCGCCGCAAGCGTTGGCACTCATTTTGTTAACTTCACAATGTTTCCCACAAGGTAGCAATCTAGTACCAGAACATCAGATTCAAGGAGTTTCTCGTAGTCACACTGTAGCAGACACTGGTCCACCCAACTCGGTATGCACCTTGCTGCCCCTCCCCCCTCTTTGAAATCTTGCGTGCTCACAATGAAATGTAACGGTTCCCGTCCTCATTCTCTTCAAAAGGATGCAAGACTTTCTCTAAGCAAGTCACTAGAAAACAGAAGGTCAAACACGACTCCTTCGAGGCACGCTTAGCGCATGGCACTGTGAAGGTTCTGAAATGATAGATAAACAAGGGATGTTGGGTAAATACGCTCAGGAAAGAATATTCTGCCCCTGAGGAGGCGCTGTTCGGCGCCCTCGCAGCGCTCCTTCAAGGCGCACACTGCCGACCCAGGGACTGGCTCACGGCAACCGTCCGTGGGCAAAATACTCTTATGGCCTCATTCACGAACTACAATCGATACGGAGCAGCTGTAGCGTCGCATGATACATAAGAAGCTACATGTAGCGCTGTCTATCAGAGCGGTTGTAAGAACAATGGGAATTCGAATCTCGTATGAAGATGATTTTTGTCAACACATCCAATGTCGTGCAGAACAATGGCTTTTGCAGGTTTTTGTCCTTTCACACGCTTTTTTCGCCATATTTCGACTATATGGCTCTTGCTACCCTTTCAGGTGAGCATCACATCATCGTGCCTGATGCCTGCTAGTCCAGGGATAACTGGCGAAGCGGTTACAGAAATCCTTTGAAAATTTCATGGGATTGGCGCAAATGTGAAAAAAGTTGTAGTGAAAACCAACTGATCCTGATCTCAGGCACTGTTTCTTCCTCTGTGACGTGATCTCCCCTAGATCTTCTTTTGTTCGCTCGCTCCTGCACTCGATGAATGAAGGAAATCCATTCCGGAATCAACAAAGAGAATGCCGCGTCCATCACAGATGCTGCAAAGTAAAAGTGATCGTAAGGCTGTCATTCAGTACTGAAGACGAAGGGGACGTTACCATAAATTTGAATTAACCCATTTACGAAGGTCGACCAAATATGAAAGCTTACTCTTTCAATAAATATGTTAGGCTAAAGAACTAACGCTCATCAGTGAAAAGCACTCCTCGAAGCAAGTCCATTCGCTGCTGCTCTGTCATAAACGTTAACGGAAGCCGAG